CACACACACACACACACAAACACACACACACACACACATACCCCCACACACACACCTACTCACACACACTTACCCCTAGACGTATCCAGACAGCCAATGTACTTCCACTGACACTAGCAAAGCCACACGTCATGATTGTGCACAGCTCAGAGCGGGTCACGTGGGGCAGGAACGGACGAATCAACAGTGGCGCCTCAGTCTGTCATTTAAAAAAGCATAATTGTCGCCATCGTCATAAGAAGCAACCAGGATGAGAAGCGCCAAAGACGAAAGGAAAACTGCGGAAATACAGAGCTTCAATCCACGTCACTGACATGCAAGCACTGCGACAGAATCTACTCTTCAAACATAGGAAGAATTAGCTTTGACAAAAGGTGCATGAAGACAACCTTGAGGCCAACTTTACTTAAGCTACTTTGACCCGTCTGCATAGACTAAAAGAGCCCTACATAAGAATTTAACTACACTATTGTCGATTTTCGCTCTTCTTCTTTTTTCGGGAAATGTATTTTACAAAGCATGTTTTACATGCTAGGTAATTTTTTTCAGAAAATAAAGAACCAGAAGTGGATAAATTAACGGCAGGAAAATTGGATCACTCCGAGCCGTCCTTTTAATAAATCTTTTCTTCTCCTGAAAAATATATTTGACGTAACTTATTTGATCTCATCACGACAGAAACGATACAGTCAGATATAGAACTATACTCACGGAAAAAAGAAAATGTTCATAGATTACAAACATTGTACTCGCTAAACAATTTTCTTGTGGGAATCATTTCCTTTTTCAGACGACACACACATCAAGGAAGAAGTCATGGGGAGAAATGGTGTAAAGTGAAATTGGCCTTAAGTTGGGCGGAGTTATTGCCCTTTAAAAGGGTCCTCTTTTTTTTAAGACACTCGGTATTATCGTCATTGTTTAAGAATCATCATCATCATCTTCTTCGGGAAGTCGACGTAAATCCCCGCAATTACGTCACATCGGGTAGCGCTGTGGAAAATGAGAATGGTCGTTTCGCCGCAAATTGAATTCGATTACAACTATATTCAGTAGTAGTAGTAGTAGTAGTAGTAGTAGTAGTAGTAGTAGTAGTAGTAGTAGTAGTAGTAGTAGTAGTAGTAGTAGTAGTAGTAGGTTTGGACGAGAGGAGGTGCCGCTGAGTATATTGGCAATGGAGCCGAAAAAGAGCCTCGCTTTCGCTCAAAGATTTCTTCGTGGAGTCCGCTAGGCTCATTACGGAAACAAAACAAAAAATCATCATCATCATCATCATCATCATCATCATCATCATCATCATCATCATCATCATCATCATCATGCATTATCTCACCAGTCCGATAAAGATGTTAGCGGCTGCTATCACCGACTCCACAGGTCCAGTCTCCAACACCAGAGATATGAGACCTCCGAGTCGCTTGACCACCGCCTCTATCACGCCGTAGTGGTTCATGAGGAAGATGAACGAGTTGAAGAACACAGCCACGCCGCCCACCTGTGGAAAGGGACATGCTACTGGTTACTTGTGGAAGGTTACGTACAACTAGTTACTTGTGGAAGGTTACGTACAACTAGTTACTTGTGGAAGGTTACGTACAACTAGTGTTACTTGTGGAAGGTGACACGCTACTAGTTACTTGTAGAAGGTTACATGCGGTCAGCTTCTTGTGGAAATCAGCCTTGTGTAAGGTGCCCTTGACTATCCTCAACCTGCCATGGCGTAGTTGTACAGGTCCAATTTTTAGACGCATGAGTCGTCCCTGGTGAAAGCAGCTGGGAGGAGTTCCGTAGAGGACCGGCACTTACCATGACAAGGTCCACTGAGCAAACTATACAAGAATGAGGGTTAGGATTAGGGTATATCCCCCTCAAAAGATCCCTTCTTTTGTGTGTTGTTGGTCTGCGGAACTCCTTTCCGAACTTTTTATCCTCATGAGCCGTCCCTGGTGATAGCAGCTAATACACTATGGTAGGTTACATACTACTAGTCAGCTGTAGAGAGTTTTGTATAACTGGTTACTTGTGGAAGGTTACGTACAACTAGTGTTACATGTGGAAGGTTACGTACAACTAGTGTTACTTGTGGAAGGTTACGTACAACTAGTGTTACTTGTGGAAGGTTGAAACCGTCGCCACACCACCCGCTTGGAGAAGGCTACACTCAACTGGTTGGTTTTCTCATTCAATACTCGTATTTTCGTAATTCAGATAACACACGAAGATTCTGTTTTAGGGAATAACTTCATTATTCAAGCAGATTTTTCCCATTTTGTTTTCTTTATCTTAAACATAAAAAGGGGAGCAACACTATGTCTACTAATAAATGTGCAAACTTTTTGTTGTTGATTTGTTTACGCCGGCTCGAAATGTGTGAAAGCGTTGCCTTTGCTATGCTATTTATCGGATGTATATTATCCTGTACGCTATGTCCCCCAAAGAGTGAAGGAAGGGTACATGCTAGCAATTAGTTGAAGAATTGGTCAAACGGAAGGGTGTGTGCAAACATTTATTAAAGGATAGCGCAATGTCGCCCAGCTGCAGACGGTTGTAAGCAACTAATAAGTTGTGGAAGGATTCCTACAACCAAAAAGTTGGAGAAATTAGCCACGTAGAAGCGCACGTGCAACTGGCAACTTGTGAAATGTTACACTCACAGGGGTTGAGTTCGATTCCCGTACAGGGGAAATCTTTATAAGGTATATGAGTCTTCTGTGTGGAGTCTGACAGGTAGGGTCGAAGCCTGCCCCCTTGATTATCTATATTGTGTCGACGAGGGGTGGAAAGGTCCCCTCCCTCCCCCCCAAAAAACGCAAAAACAACCACCAACACCTCACCATCACCACCACCACCATCACCATCAACAACAACAGCAACAACAACAACAACAACAACAACAGCAGCAGCAGCAGCAGTAGCAGGAGCAGCAAATCAGGGAGTATAATGCTGCATTTTAAATCCAAAAAGAGTTTGCCAACTTGCTCCCCACAACCCGCTTACAAAGACCCCAACATACCTGCACCGTACTGTCTCATTACTTAGGTCCTCTCGACACTTGTCTTGGCTCGACAGAATAGGCTAACATTTTTTTAAGGAGAAGATGGAGACCTCTAGGACATGTTTTAAGAATGCCGAAGACAAGATTGCCGTATCAGACATGGTATTGGAAACAAACTCGAAAAAGAAAGCAAGGAACACCAACTGAAAGCTATAGAGGAACAATAAGGGATGAGGCAATCGCCCACGGCCTGGGTGTGCCAGAATTGGAGGACGTGGCCAGGGACAGACAAGCTGGCGTCGGCTGCTCTCCGCCTTATGTACCTGGCGGTATGGGGAGAGAGTAAGTAAGTAAGTAAGTAATAATGTCACCTTAGCAGAGACTGTGCCCACCATTTCAGAACTTCACCGTGACCGTAAAGATGGTTCCAGTCGGGAACGGGATAGAGGGTGCCCTCGTCCCTCGTGACTCATTGAAGCAGAGAAAGATAGGACTAACGCTAACAATACTTAAACGCAATCCCACTCCATCACTCATTACCACCATTTTTTCTAAAATCATCATTGCTCTCAGATCCTTGACTTCGATCTATATTCATCGAATCTCTATTTATTGTAACAGTTACATGTCATACGAAGTATGTACGTAATACACTATTGGACACTATCATGCGCACTTTTTGTCTACTAATCAGATGGCGTCAATTTCATATGAATGGACAAGAGACAAATAACAACAACAATAACAACAACAACATCATCCGGAGGTGGTATCTTTTCGGGGATGATTCAGGGAGGTTGGACTGCCTCACCCGCTACCCAAGGGAGGCGGTGGCCCTGGCGAAGAGCACGATTTTCGGGGCTCCAAACATTTCGAACGGATATGCTACCACACACACACACACATACACACACATACACACACACACATACACACACGCACACACACACAACAACAACAACAACAACAACAACAACAATAACAGCAAAGACCAAGTGGGCTCTATCTTGGAATCCTCACCTGGAACAAAAGCCCCCCTCCAGGGATGTCTCCAATCACGAACTTTGTCCCCTTGTCGGAGAGAGCGATGAAGTCGGAGACCAGGTCCCCCACCCACTTGAAGGTGCTGTACCCGGCCTCTGTACGGAGGGTCAGGATCGCGAACACAAACTGGATGATGAAGCCCCAGAACACCAGGTGCCAGTTTACCTGAGGGGAGGGGGGGGGGAGTGGGGAGGCGTACAGAGTTGGTGAGTTTGTTACAGAAAAAAATGACTAAGACGGCCACCTACGGACGAGGATAAAAATGGCCGTCTTTGGTGGACTCGTACATAGAATTACTATCATGTAAAAACACAAAAAGGGGTGGGTGGTGGGTGGAGGAAGAAAGAAATGGCTGTTTGTATAATTGATTGGATTGTATGGGTGGACGTTAGAGCAGCAGTTAAATATTTGGCTAATTAGTTAGTTAGTTAGTTAGTTTTATAGTTAGTTAGTTAATTGGTTGCTCAAGGACATACCCCCACCGACCCCCCATCTGATCCCCGTGTCACCGACACTAGCTTGACATTACTTAAGTCAAAACTCACTACTCACTTAGCCACTGGAGCCCCCAAATGGAGCATGATTTAAAACAAAACTTTTTTTTTGAGGCAGCATCACTGAGTTGTGAATGAAAACAACAAATCCTGAGTTCATATTATTGTATTTTCACCCGCCAAATTAACTGAGAAAATACCTCGTTTAATATTTAAATCCTACTTTGGGCAAAACGTAATTATAACTTTTAGATTTAAACTTGGCTTGGAAATAATAGTGTAAAGATGTTTTGAAACGGCTAATTTATCTGTGAATGCTCAAGCAGAAGGAAGAGAAGCAGAGATGGCAGTACAACATGTGAGTTATAAATTTGGCTTCAAATTTGGTTGTCTTTATCTAGACTGTTGTGACTGTAGCGTGGTCAAAAATTCGTGGCTCAACTTATCCTCAAATAATTTTTGACGTGTGAATCAATCTCACCCATACTTTGCTCATTAGTTTGTATCAATTTGTCTTAACCTAATCACATTTTTCCACAACAACTGTGGCTCGATTTAAAAACTTTTCTTCATAAATTTATATTAAATACCATAATTAATCTTCATCACGAGGAAAATTGGATAGTTCACAGCGCTTCCCGCTTCTCGCACACATTTTACATACGCGTATGGCCTACGTCAGAGCTTGCCAATGACACTTTTTAGGGGCAAAACTTCTTACAAAAAATTAATTTTATTGTGAACACATTTTTTGCATTAAAAGTTCCATGAACATACGTTCAATAAGCATAATGTTCCACTTAGAAAAAAAATGACAGACTTGCCTTTAAAAGTGATATTGCCCCCGATGTAAACTTTAAAAAATCTGTAGAAACCATCGACTGGATTTTTTTATTAGTAGATTTATTCATTAGGGAATTTTCTAGAATACAGTGAGCAGGAGTTTGAAAAAATATTCACTTGTTAAGACAAACTGATATAAGTCATTGTGCAAAAGTTTGAGAATCTATGTTCGGTAGTTAAGGAGATATTTGACAATAAGTAGCGCCATGCATTTTTGGCTGCACAATAGGAGCTGATGTCAAAATCATGTCATGACCTGATGACAAAGTGATATATGACGTAACACCCGTAGTGACGTAGATACTCACCCTGCTAGGTTTGGAGGAGAAGATAAAGGTGAGGATGACGAGGCAGAGGAGACCGACAAAAGACTGCAGGTTCTGGGCGTGAGCTTGGAACACGTCAATTGACAGATACACCAGGAGTCCGGCGCCAGCCACAACATACAGCAGGCTGTGGAAGGGAGAAACGTTGGGCATAATAATGATGGTTAGCTGCTCTTACATTCATTCATTCATTCATCTTTTCATTCATCCATTCATTCATTCATCCTTTCATTCATTCCTTCATTCATCTTTTCATTCATCCATTCATTCATTCATCCTTTCATTCATTCATTCATTCATTCATCTTTTCATTCATCCATTCATTCATTCATCCTTTCATTCATTCATCCTTTCATTCATTCATTTATTCATTCACACATTTTCATATGTCATTTGGCGGCCTAAACCCGGCAGCGCTGTTGCCAGTTTGGCATTACTGTAAGCGAGATTGTTTCGAGGATATCGCAGTGACCAGGGATCCACTGAATGGTGGGTTGAGGTATTGGATTATTTATGCGTAGTCGCATTTAGTCGAGTGATGGTGATGTTTCTACTAGTGCCATGTACAGCGATTGACTATCAGTGAAGATAGCGACCCTGCTGGATGCATCGCATTGTTTGTCAATCCAGTCAATGGCCATTTCCAAGGTTCTCCTCTCTTCCACGAAAGAGCACGTGAATAAAGCGCCTTTCTCCCTCCCCGCTGTGATGACGACCCCAGCACCGTCGTCCGTTGTTCCCGCACTCGCCGAGCCGTCAGTGTAGATGTACTGTGCGCCAAGCTCTCTTGTTCAAAGAACAGCAGCGCTTCGGATCTTCCCACTGGAGTCACACGTTCCGCTTATGCCGTACAGGTGGGGGAAAGCGATGTCGGAGTTGGTTCCCCGTTTCCACGGACTGGTTTGGAAATAAGTAATGGGCCTCCTTTCGCAGTTGAACAGATGTAGGCTCTTTTTGCTGGCGTCTTCGGCCATTTTTCGGAAATCCCTGCGTCCCTCTAGGCGTCCGAGCACTTGTTCCGTTGTTGCATTTCGTCAAGGGTGGTCGTTGTTCATTCGCAAAGCCTTTTCTCTTCATCGGAGGCAGACAGTATTGATGGTGGACTCAAGGCTAGGGACCCCGGTTTCAGCTCGAAATGCCTCGATCGGTGAGGATTGGGCTTGGGTGGTGATCCGTCGCAGACATCTGTTTTGAACCACCTCCAGAATATTTATCAGAGTTTTGCTCAGCCACGGTTGCCAACTTTTGCTCGCAAAGTTGAGGACACTTTGTATATGAGTGAGGTAGACCTTGCGTAGGTCGTCTTTCCTCCATCCCCATTTTGAGTGCACAACAGCGCCGAGCATCCTCATCTTCTGTGTGGCCTTAGCTATTACTGTCTCAACCTGTTTCCTGAACGTGAGCCTGCGGTCGAGTGTGACTCCCAGGAGTCTTGCGTAGGGCTCATACCTAACTGTCGAATTATTGATCGTGATGCATGGCTTCCATTCCGAGACAGATGTTGCGAGCGTGAAGAATGTAGTCTCGCTCTTTGAGCCGTTCAGCGTGAGTTTCCATCACCTGCTCCAGTCAGCAATGGTGCTCACCTCTCTTTGAGCCGGACTTTCTGCGTCTCGTATCGTGCGAGATGAAGCGAGGATAGAGACGTCGTCAGCGTAAAGCGAAATTGTGAGATCATCCCGAAGTAGTTTCGCCAGTTTGTCGATATAAAAGAAGAAGTGGATGGGTGCCAGAACGGAACCCCGTGGGAGGCCTTGGCTCATCTTCTTGTTCTTACTCAGTATTCCGTTGAATCGGACTCTGGCTTGACGATTTAGAAAGAAGTTATTCAGCTATAAAACGCTGTTCTGGTTAATGTTTTTGTTGTTATCATTGTTATGCTTATTCTTATCTACCTCCTCTCTTCCCCCTCTCCCCTCTCCCCACTCGCTATCTCAGAATCCTCCTCACCACTCTCCCCTCTCCCTCTCTCCCCTCTCTTTCCCTCCCCCTCTCTCCCCTCTCCCCACTCACTATCTCAGAATCTTCTTCACGACTCTCCCTCTCTCTCTCTCTCTCTCCCCTCTCCCCCTCTCATTCCCCTCTCTTCCCCTCCCCCCTCTCTCTCCTCTCCCCACTCACTATCTCAGAATCCTCTTCATGACTCTTCCTCTCCGTGAGGCGAACAGTCTGCTGACCAGAGGTGCCAGACTCAGGTTCAGAGATGTCCGGTCTAGCAGCCTCCCAACCAGGTACAGGTTCAACCAGATACACACCACCAGCAGGATGATAGATCCCTCGTCTCCGAACCTAGGGGAGGAAACATGCATACAATTGATTAATTCTCTATGTTTCTCTGTCTCTGTGTGTCTGTCTGTGTCTGTCTGCGTGTCTGTCTGTGTGACTGTCTGTGTGTCTGTCTGTGTGTCTGTCTGTGTGTCTGTCTGTGTGTCTGTCTGTGTGTCTGTCTATGTGTCTGATTCTCTCTCTCCTCTCTCTCTCTCTCTCTCTCTCTCACTGCATGTCAGTCTGTATGTCTGTCTGTCTGTCTCTCACAGTCTCCCTCTCTCACAGTCTCTCTCTCTCTCTCTCTCTCTCTCTCTCTCTCTCTCTCTCTCTCTCTCTCCATGTTTCAACGATGTCCGTCCCAGCAGCCCCCTATATCCACGAAGAATTCTAAACAGAACAGACAGGGCTCTCCGTTACCTCAGAAGGTAAAACGCTGGACTATGAAACGGGTAGCCATGGTTCGAATCCAAAACTGGGCGTTTTTAAACTCAGATCCAAGGACTACTATGCTCATAGTAGTCCTTGCTCAGATCATATAATTATTGTAGATGATTCAAGGCTATCTGCCTATTTGGTTTTGTCCTATCGGAGACGGACTTTACATTCGGAGGTCCCGCCGCTTAAATAATTTGATCGTGCTGATAGGGGCGTTAAATCCATACACCTACATAATGTGACCGTTTACAGGTGCACATAACTGAGTAATTAAAGTATACACCTATGTATTTCATCATCATTAATATAATGACCATCAGAAGCAGCGGGAACAGCGTTATTATTATTATTATTATTATTATTATTATTATTATTATTATTATTATTATTATTATTATTATTATTCTAATTATTCTAATTATTATCATAATCAAAATATTAATCACTTATACCGTCCTAGTTATTCCTAGTGTTATTATCGCAATGGATTTGTGTCTAATAATAATAATAATAATAATGATAATAATAATAATAATAATAATAATAATAATAAAAATTATAATAGTAATTTTAAACAAATGAATAAATGACCTTTACATAGCGCTCAACCCTGACTAAAGTACGCAGGCTTTGGGCGCTTTACAATACAACATTAACACAATACGTTGTGCTCTGACCAAAAGAAAATCTCTCTAAATATTCATCTTTCTATCAATTTAAAAGCAGAAATGATTTCAGCCGGCATTGGAAGGAATCAAAGGATTTGTCTATAAGACTGTACCTACATTGTGGCGTCGGTGGCCTAGTGGTTATGCTGGAAGACTCGTAATCGTGAGTAGTGGTTCGGGGGTTCAAGCCTCAGGCAAGGGCCTTGTGTCCTTGGGAAAGGCACTTTATACACATTTTCCTTAGTTCACCCAGGTGGGAACGGGTTCCCTTGCCACAAACAGCAAAAGATCTTGTCAGTGTGTTGGTATTTTGGGCACTCATTAAAAAAATGGCAGCTTTCACTGTATGCTTCCCAAGAAGTTAAGATTGTTTCAAAATGCTATCAGGTCTGTTGGCATGGGGTAATAAAAAAGATTGTAAAGCGCATAGAGCTTGCTGTTCAGCGGGAATTTGCACTGTGCAAATGCTATCGCTCTCTCTCTCTCTCTCTCTCTCTCTCTCTCTCTCTCTATATATATATATATATATATATATATATATATATATATAAATATATATATATAATATCTATCTATCTATCTATCTATCTATCTATCTATCTATCTATCTAACTATCTATCTATCTATCTATCTATCTATCTATCTATCATCATCATCATCATCCTCATCATCCTCATCATCGTCATTATTATTATTATTATTATTATTATTATTATTATTATTATTATTATTATTATTATTATTATTATTTTTATTATTAATATTACTATTGCTGTTGTTGTTGTTATTATTATTATTATTATTATTATTATTATTATTATTATTATTATTATTATTATTATTATTATTATTATCAACTTTATTACTATTTACTTAAATCACCTGTAGCTCATGGCGTAAGAGAAGTAAGCCATAAAGGCTAGGTAGATCAGAACGTTGAAGATCTTGTTTATCTTCCTTTTGTGCGCCTTCATAAAGCCGTAGACGGAGTCCTCTATCTTGTCCACCACCATCGCGTAACAGCCAGGGGTGTGGTCTTCCTCTTTTGATTGTTCCAGGTCCACATCTTTGTCTTTGAGCCCCAACTCCCCGTCCACATCCCCATCAGCATCCGGTTTTGACAGGTCTCCTGAGGTCAAGGCCGTGTCAGACTGACCATCATCAGATTTTTTCACAAATTCTGTGAGTTGAAGGGCTGATGCAGGAGTTTCATGGTCCGGGTTCGAAGACTTTGCTGTTGGTTCCCCCATTGTTTGAGAGAGTCACGTATCTGAAATGGAATGTGGATGAAAGTTTGAGGCCGTGTGCCCACGCAGAGGAGAAAAGACCCGAGTGTTGTTGGGTGGTTGTGAAATGTGGTATGTTGGTTTTCGGCGTGCCGAACAAGTCAGAGGTTAAGGGACGCAAGGTGGAAATTACAGAGTATGAGCTATTCAAATCTAGAAAATTTCTAATATCCCTTTAGGGCTCATATGACACCTGGCTGGATAGGGTTAAAAAGGTCCTGGAACAAAATGACATACTATTATCTATCATAGACGCCACACACCTAGCGCAGGACCGAAACCTGCACCTCTCCTCGGCATCCTGACGATACGAGAAGAAGGAAAAAGAAAAAGTAAGTAAAGTAAGCTCATAATAATACGAACCTATGCAGTTAATAGTTGCGAGCGCCGTAAAAATCCTACTTAACAAAACGTATCCCTTTAAACCGATGGTTTACGCTTTGGCTTTAAATTCTGGGATGTTGCTTACGAATATGTCAATAGATTTTTCGGGTGGAAATTGAAATTGGAATTTTATTTTAGCTCGGACTGAGAATATGGTTGATGAGACGCTACATGGCCAAACAAAAAATTAATGCCACGTGTGGCATTCTAACCTGCTCATTTTTTAATCGCTCGGAATCGTTTCGTTTTGGTGGACAAATCCAAAACGGAATCCTCACTGGGTGTTTAGGTAAAAATAGGTGCTCTGTTTCAACTACTAACTGACTCCCGAGGACGAGTGACATTTGGTCGGTTGGTTTCTGTGTTAGTGGACACGAGGGCAAACACTTCTGAGTACGTCTAATAGCGGACTCATAACATTATGTGAGGCTTCCAAGTGCAATCAGGCGCTCTTCAAAATAATGAAATCAAAGAAACCGGTATTTTTCTTGCCGCAGGGAAAGTTTTTTTTTTCTTTCAAATTTTCTTAATTTGGCCCAACGCCTTACATGTCCATTCAAAAACAGATTTATGAGTGAGTTCCTCGGAAAAAACGTTCATCAAAGGCACAAAAAATGTACATTTGCAGTCTTTTTT